AAAGAAACTTAGGCAAAAGTTAACAATCCTAATGGAGATTTTGTTGGAAGATCGGCTACCAGGAATTGATACATCTAATTTAATTTAGAACTTGGGTTTAAATATTTCTTGTAGATTGCGGAGAATGTTAAACAAGTCAGTTGGAATATTCGTTCGTAATTTTTATTTTCATATTATATTCTGAAGTTGTAGCAAATGAAGACAAAAGAGATTTCATGATTCTCAATTAGCCTGTTGAAATCGCAAGAGTCACTTATTTGGAAACAACAGGGAAACCATTTTTGTATTTTTTTTTGAATCTTCTAATTTGTTAGTCTTATTGGCAGGGAAAACAGTTTGAATGTGTTTACAGTTTTCATCACCCATTGTGATAGATTATAGTGATACTAAAGTGGTAGCCATATATTGAATATTGAATTTATTCATAAGTCCAACATGGAATAAGTACAGTACCCGAACAACTAAAACGTTTATGATCTTGATAGCAGACGACTTAGACGACATCCATTCACTGAAGTGAAGTGACCAAATCACATCCATTATTTACCATTCAGTTTGTTGCTTACATTTCGTCAAAGTATTGTATTTGTTGTCTCTTTTAATGAAAAATGGTTATTTGGGCCAATGTAAAGCATGCTGATAAATGGTTATCACTTCTCGATTAAGTTTGGGTGAGAAAATATGACAGTACACTGTTTCCATCGACAACCAATGGAATTATTTATGCTATCACCAGAGAGTTTTAATCTGGAAATGTCAGGTATTTTTGCCACAATATCGGAATTGGTTTCTTACTAGCATTTTTCACGACTAACAAACTCACTAAATAAGTTACTTAAACTAGGTCTTGTTATTTCTGTGCAAATATGAGTAGAGCAACAATAACACCGGTCTAGTAGCAATAATTCGTCTCTAGATATATATAACTCCGAATTGATCAAAATACTAACACAGTATTTATTGTAACTGAATTGGTTGCTTTCGATATGCACTAAATAGGACGAGTATTCACAAAACTGAAGATCACTTTTTAGGATGAATTATACGGTAAGTATATGTAGAAAACTTATTACACCCACATCTCAGTCCCTATGTAGTTTACACTATTGATTTTAGCATTCAGTTTTCAGCTCTTGAATCACGGAGTAGCAAACCATTGCACTTGAGTGTTAAAAAATTGGCTGGTGCCTCTAATACACAGTAAATATCTTAAGGCCGATTACGTGTTCTTGGGTATGGGATTGTGCTATTTAAATATATTTATTATAGATTAAAAGATATGACAATGAATTTAATGCTGAAAATGATGTCACTTCTTCATAAAGACTATCCTTAAAATTAACTGCTTAGTTAATGATTGAAAAATAGTGAAAAGCCCCTAAAGAGCCGATTAATGGAGAGCTAAAACTGATTCCCACCAATTGTAGGATGTAATGCGCAGAATCATCGTGCATGTCGGTTTATATCACTTGCCAAAAGTTCCCCTGCATCTGTCTATTTACGTAGTAAGAAACATCCAACCATTAGATTCAGACTCATTAATGCTTAATAAGAGATCTCAAAACTCCGCATGGAGTCACTCCGGGGGCTACTGCAGGTCCCAAGCCCGGATAAAGGAGGAGGGTCGGGCATGGGGTTGGCGAACCAGTCCCGTAGAAAACCAACTCGCTAAAAACCGCTAACCAGAAAAATTAATCGAACCTTTTAAACTCTGCCCTGGGAATCAGGTCTTCATTTAGAAGAACCATGACGCCTCATGATGAAAGCCGAGTTCCTTCGGAAGTTACGAGGCCGATGCCCCTTCTGACAACCAGAGCGACCATTTATTTGGGTACATGGAATGTTCGTACAATGTGGGACACCAGGAGAGCCCTCCGAATCGCTGCAGAAATGAGTAGATACAACCTGGAGGTGCTTGGGATCAGTGAAACACATTGGACGCAAGTTGGACAACAACGACTAGCTTCAGGGGAGCTTATGTTATACTTCGACCATGATGAAGAAAATGTTTCACATATACAAGGAGTTGCATTGATGCTGTCCAAACAGGCACAAAATGCACTTATAGGATGGGAATCTCATGGACCAAGGATCATCAAAGCCTCTTTCAAAACAAAGAAAGAGGGCATTTCGATGAACATCATCCAATGCTATGCGCCTACCAACGATTACAATGAAGACGCTAAAGATCAATTCTACAATAGGCTGCAGTCAATCATCGAGAAGTGCCCAACAAAGGACCTGACCATTCTGATGGGAGATTTCAACGCCAAGGTTGGAACGGACAACACTGGATGTGAAGACATCATGGAACGACATGGACTGGGAGAAAGGAACGAAAATGGTGAGGGATTTGCAAACCTATGTGCCTTCAATAAACTGGTCATAGGCGGCACCACATCCTTTCAGTTACCGTTTTTGTTTTATTTCAGAATTGATGGAACCTCCGCCCCGATTATATACTTATAAGGGTTTATTCACTGAAGGTCGGTCGCTGGACTTAACACTAAAATTGTATCGACCGTACTGTCTTTTCTAGTCTTTTTATTCTTAATAGCGTGGCGTATTTCAAAAGAGTAAGTAACTGTGATTCCCCAATTAAAAATTTGAAGCATTATAATAATCCCCCGATAGATAAGCGTTTACGTTTTAACAGTTTCAACGATCTATGCCAAAATGGATCGTTCAGCTTGACATCATTCTATGCATCTAGAAGACAAAAGTTTCCCCTGGTAAGGGGTTACTTAAATAAACAAAAGGTTCTTTTTGTTGAAGATTGGAAAGTAATCACTCTTTACAATCAGTTTCCTTTGCTAGATCTACACTATTCCTCAGCCCCAAGTAAGTTTAGGATAATGAATTCGTTACTTGCTTTTCCCCTTATTTTATTTCAAAATATCAACTGATTGTTTAATTTTTGACTTACCTGTTTACTAAAGTGAATAACGTTGTTTGTCAGAAAAGATAATGATAACTGCTAGTGGGTTAAAATCATTATTTCGCGAACTCAAAACGTCTGCTCAACAGCCTACATAACACATGTGTTCATCCTATAGTCAACCAAACTATGGCGCATAAAGTCTAAATAACTTCTATTAAAGTCCTAAGAAAGATGGTAATAGATCAGTAATGTTAAAAGTCTGCTGTTGTGTTGTAAGAAAAAACTGTTTGGCAGTTCATGTAAAGAAACTTAGGCAAAAGTTAACAATCCTAATGGAGATTTTGTG